CAGGTGTAGAAGTAGGACGCAGGCCGGGGTGTGAATGACTTGCGGTGAGAGAGACGAAGCTTCCAGCGTGGACAGACCTTTTTTATGAGGCGTCTCTAAAGGTGTTTATATTTTTGTTGTCCTGGGTGAGGTTTGATCCAAGTGGTCTTAAGCGCACCTGCGCGTGGTGAGGGACACCGCTTTCTGCTACACCACCTTCGCTGGTTGCATGATTTGGGCACCCTGAATCTCATTCTATTGATGCGAAATTTCATTATAAGACGGTGTTAGTAGAATCAGTTGAAGGACCGGCGTTCCTTCGGAATACGCCACGTCTTCAACTCCCGTTCATGATCGCAGAGGTGCATTAATGCATATTCTGGCCATGGGAAGCACTGCAACGGTGCGAGGATTAGCTTTTGCTGAAGGAACTGTTTTTTTGCCCTACGGGACGTATCTGCCCCATTCTTCGTACCAGTTTACTGACCAAAACGTGAAAAGGTAGGTTTGCCTGCCCTTGACAGGGTCCGATCTCATGAGCGGTACAGGTACAGTAAACCTCGAGCGTTACTATTTGAGCAATTCATTGCTGTAGTTTATTCGTTCAGCGCTGCTTATCGGTGTACCATCAGAGAACATTTCTGGTTCTGCAGTATCCGGAGCAGCACCACCAATCTTGCTGTCTCCTTCCAATGACAAACGGCCGTTACCAGCCGTGATCTTTGCAGGTTTGTCAGTTTAAATCGTTAGGAATTATCGTTTCTAGAACGTTTTCCAAGTTTCAGGAGCCTCACTGATGGCTCTTGGGGAACTGCTCGTCTACGTTGAGAATGGGATTCCCATAATTGTACTACAGGTAGGAATAACTCTTTAGCCATCGAAGCTTACTCAATAGTACTGTCCTTTCATTGAAGGACAGTTGCGAACTCTGCGTGGTCCTGCACAGCGCTTACCTGCTCTATCGATCGGCGCAGTTCGAACATTCGAAGTTCGTCACCTGGCTGGAAGAGCAACTCGATGCGATCGCGATTGGAGATGTGGCAACAGCCACGATCACGGCAGTGAAGATATTCGCCACTGCGTTTGGTGACACTCAGCTCATTGAGTTCTTGGATAGCGACGAGGTAGGAATTTACCACTTGTTGATCTGGGATACGCCGCACACATTGTTGCTCTGGGGAATTTAGAGACGATTGGAAGGGTAGTTGCTGCATGCAAGGGTTTGGCCAACTTCTGTGAGGTAGAGGTGCGCGCATTGAGCACTCAGTAAATTGCTGCTAGTAGCTAAATGGATTTCAGAAGGGAGGAGGTGTTTCGATTCTTAGCCAGACCGAACTCGCAAGCTCACAGCACAGTTCCTTTTGCCTTTCCTGTGACGATACAAATTACGAAGCGCCTTTTTTGGCATACATTCCTCATTTGTGAAATTCAGTTGCCGTCCTTTACCATCGCGAATCATCGAACTTTGCCTGCAATGTCACAGTGGATCAACAGAAGCCCGTCAACTTTTGCAACTGGCCACCCACATCAATGAGCCATCAATACTGAATGGAATGGATCTTGAAGAACTGCTTGACGATGAGGTGAGAGATGGTAAATGACCGTCTTTGAGGACGCCGTCC